GTTAAAATCTGGTAGGGAATAGAACATAAATTGTGGAAAACTGATAACAATGCAAATATGCAAATAATTCTTCTCTATAATAATGCAAACAAATTTTTGTCCAGTAGGAAATATAAATATTCAGAAAGCAAATTCTTTTTTGAACCAGTTTTAACTTTTTACCGATTCCCTCATTAATTATAGAGTTAAATGGAATCACTGGCACATGGTCATTTAATATTTGAAAGGCAGTCATGATTTCACTGTCATCATGTATTTTAGCACCCATAGAACTGCAGACTCCACAGGGGCAGGGCCTAGGCTGCAGCTCAGAGCCCAGGACTCAGCAGGTGGGCGCTCTGTGAACTTTTAATCAAACTGATGTCCAGTTAACGAAGGGGGAAAGGAATCAAACTGGTAAGGAGCTATTTTCTACTCCTTTGTGTGCAGAGGCTGATCTGGCCCTAAATTTCAGAAGAGCACATGGGGTAAAAGTCAGGGCATGAACAATGACTATGAAAACATTGTTGGCTGTAGTACCCTTATTTATGGCTGGGTCTATAGAGAAGCAACAGGAGGGGAGATTCCAGGTTTGAATACAATGTATTGAATATGAGGGGAAAAAAAGGGGGGGAGACATTCTATAGCACATTTGTTTTCAAAGACATGGGACACACAGACACGTGTACACATGTGTACACACACGTGTACACACACAATGGTGTGTCTATACAGCTGTCATTGATTTCTGGCTTCTGTGTTAGCTGGAAGCAGTAGTTCACAGTGTATATCACACATTGATGCAAGAATGGGAATTCCAAGATGGCTACAACTGCTACTACCATGTTTGTAAAATTTCACTGTTTCCCCACACACTGGCCATCCCTACACAAGTCTCCATTTTCTGGCTGCTCAATTAACCATCAAAAGGGATGGTACCTTAACTATCCTCCAAATCATGAATAGCATAAAAGGCTATATATACACATAGTATTCCTCACTATCCCCAACACACACACACACACACACACACACACACACACACACTTTCCCTAATTAATTAGTACCTGTAAAATTTGAAAACTAAGGGGGGCAGTATGAAAATACACTGATTATTCCTGCTTTGGAGTCATGCAAAAGGTTTCTAAATGAAATGGCATATCTTCCTTTTATGAAGATGAGTAATGTTTGAAGAAGTGATTCGCAAACAGGCTCCTGTGCCCTCAGAAGGAAGTCTGGTTTTTACTAATGGAACTTCTACTTGGCTAATAGTATTATCGATTTTTACATTCTTAGAATCATAAGTAGTGGCAGCCATCTCAGCACAACGCTAGCACCACGCCCACCCTTTCTCCCCCTGGCGGGCAGACGCTGGGCCGCTCCGTATACAACCCAGAGTCCAGTCCCTGGAAATTATGGGTGTTGACCCCAAGAGGTCCAAATTTCTGACAACACATCGGGAAATCCCAAGGACACTGCTTGCCAAGTTTTGTGTCAAAACTTCACCTGATGCACAGAAAAACTCTCCATTTCATCACACAAAGATTATGTGAAGCTTTCCAAAGCAGGGAAAATACACAAAATATTTTAAATGCTCTTGCTAGGAGAGATCCTCAGTGAATTAGGATATAATCTCTCCTCACTGTCTGATCAATGTCTTCCTTCCACAGTCCAAACACAGGGTTCCTCCAGGGGTGGATGGTCTGTGTTAGACACTGAAATTCATTATCTTGTCTGCCTGGTGCTACTGTTTCCAATAAAGTGTAATTATGGTGTTATTGAGCTCCTTCTCACTTTCTCAAAGCCCTGCTATAAACTTTGGTCTGTGAGCACTTCCCAGTCAGTCTTCATTAAGTTGAATTGTCTCAGAACAATGTCTATTTAATCAGCAGGACACCTGCTAATTTTCTTTTTTAGAATTTGTACTAATGTAACAGACACTGGAGCTCCATGCCTTAGGTACTACACAGTTACACCTCATTGTTTCTTCTGGCTTCAGAAGGCCCTGTGGCCACTGAGTGCAGGTTTCTGGTCCCAGAGGATTCCAACGTCTCACCCTGTACCTGCCAGGTGGGGTGCCTGTCTCTCCTGGAATAGCACCCTGCCCTTGTCACTTGCAATAGTGGAAGTACAGAGTGCTTTGTAAATTGCCTCTATCACTCAAAAAACTCGAACTAAGTGAGGTAGAGGCTTGTATCCTGTTTTCTTTTCCCACACGCTCAGCACAGAGCCAGGCATATGGTAAAGAGCTTGACAAACACTTATGGAGTGATTGGAATAATGGCCGAGTGCACATCACTTCCCTAACTTTTGGCCATGGGTCGTGCCTGGTAGCACTGTTGGCCAGAAATGCAACATGCTTATAGATCCAAATAGCAAAGAAACAAAGAAAGCAAATAGTTTACTGAGCATATATTATGTGCATACTTTTAGCACTGAGCAGGATAGAAAATACCCTGTTGGTTGTAATGAAGGCCTGGCCTATACAGATTTTGTTGGATAAAACTGATTTTCAAAAAGAAAATTGTAAGAATTAACAAGTACGATGTAAAAATGGGGAAAATGTTTGTACTAAACACAAGATAGCAACATTTCTTAGGGCAAAAAGAAAAATCCAAGTAGGTATGTTCAGATTGCTTTCCCACGTCTTTCTGACCTCGGCTTCTTCACCTTAGAGTTGACTGCATTTGATATCCCCATATCAAGGAAACCATCTTCAGGGAACAGTTTTCTCAGCTCCTCCTGTCTAGCCTTGCAGCATCATAAGGAGCATGAGTGGATTTCATCTCTGAGGCAGCCAATTTCCTAAGCAATTAAATGCTGTTTATATTCCAAGCTCTGTGCTTGGGTTGAAATCATCAAGCTTGATATTACCTGACTGTTGCCTAAGATGTATCCCCAGCTAGTTCATTCTACTGTAACTGCCATCTATTAAAATTTCCAATCTGTTCTCTCTCAAGGGATCACACGGTACTTTTTAAAGGTGCAGCTTCTAAATTTTGCAAATTTTATATATATAAAGTATAACAAGGCTTGCCAATTACTTTACCAAACTGACATCCCAGTCTGCTATCCTGCTATCCTAACAGGAAGTGCAATGCAGTATTCCTCTGGTATGCGTAGACACTCTCTGTGTTGACTCCTTAAAAAAAATAACATAATGTAGATACCAAACTTCCTGAAATTCCTTCATGAGGTCACAGAATCAAAGTGATAGTTTTTGTCACTCCTAAGAGTGGACACGGCAGAAACTGATAAATACAGAATGCACTGAATCTGAAAGAAACAAGTATTTGTTCCCAAATCAACATTCCTGATTGAGGATGGTGCTCTTTCTCTTTCTGGCCACTTGATATGGCTTCGAGTCTGAATGGAAAAGTGAGAAGATGTATTTACGTTTTATCGGCTTTTTGTCAGAGGGACAGTCATGGCCTCTGTGTCACAATGGGGCACTTCAGTGCAGCGGCAGATTGCTAGGGTTCCCAAGCCCAGAACAGGGGATGGGGGCTAGAAGCAGAAGGTTTTTTGTTTAAAAAATCTTTTTTTTTCAAGCATAGAAAAACTGTTCTTCCTATCTTTCTAAAATAGGATTTGGGCAGTTGTTCATATACTTCCTGTAATGAAAACATCCAAACCTCTCTACACATTGACATTTAATACACTGGCTATGCTCTCAAATACTCTAAGGACCAATTGCATCTCTCCCCTCATAAAAACCTTCAGTGGCTTTTCCACTGTGGATGGAATAAACCCCTAACCCAGCAGCAGCCTTCAGGCCGCGCTGTACGGCCCACCTGCTTTTCCAGCTTCACGGGCCTCTATGACTTTCATGCAGGCCTCACCTTTGCCAGAGCAGGCTGCACGCCTTTCTCCTTGGGTGTCAGATTCTCTCTGCTTCCTTCTATCTTTATTCCCGGGGCTCTAGCCTCTGACTAATAATGTGTTTATGCCCATTCTTTTTTTGAGGGAAAAAAAAATCTTGTGTATCCTGCAAAGTTCAAATTCGGCCTCCTCTCTGAAGACTTCCGTGACACTTTCATCAACAGTGTTTGCACTCATTCCTCAGCTCTCAAAGCACGTTGCTCATCCCTTGAACAATCATGTCACTGACTTTGTATTACCGTTAATCGTTTCCTTATAGACACCTCTGTGTGGCCCGCAACTGTGAGCTACGTAACTCTCATTAACACCTGACACGCCCAACAACCTGAGGACAGACTGTAAAACACTCAGGTGTTGCTCATGTCACACAACTTTGATTAGTAATGGCAAAAACTCCACATACACACCCAATCCTCATTTCAAGACCTGGCCCCTCCCCATTCATTTGTAGTTCACTAGGGCAGGTAATAAAGCCTCCACGTGTTTATCTCTCATAACATCCAACACAGGAGAGGAACACAGAAAGCATCTGAAGAAATGAAATATACACACTTCCCGTCCTCCTTATCTGGTAGGTGTTAGCAGTGCCCCTTCAACTCCATCTCTGAAGCCAGGAATCCTATTCTGCATGTCTCTTCTGTCCCAGTGCAGAGTGATATGACTAAGGAAGGCTTTGTGAGGAGTGTGGAGTAGGTGCAAACTCTCCAGAGCAGGAGGAACACCAGGACCGCCTGCCCAAGGTGTAGACGCCAGCCTAGCTCATGCAACACAAGTCGGAGGGCAGTAGCCAGCTTTGGGGCTAGAGCTCATGGCTCTTCTTCCCCACTTCGCAGGCATTTGAGTGGCAGTGCACACACATTCCCAGACCACAGCGGTGACAGCTCCGGAAAAGGGCAGGGCCCTGTCCCAACAGCAGGACCAAGCTCAGCAGAGTCCTTCCC